ACTACTGTGTTTTACATTACACAGTGCTTAAAAAATACCCAATCTGAAAAAAAAAGTAGGTACTTTTGAAAGCCCCAATTCTGCGAAGTCTTAGATACTTGCTTTCCCTTAATTAAAAGTAACATTACTGACTTCGACAAGAACGGTTACTGATTAGAAAATGCGTGCCTAAGTGACTCTTGGCATCCAGCCCAACACTTCCATGCTCCTGTTCTAACAGCAGATGACCCAAAGCCTACCTTACCACCACTAAAAATGCTTCCCCTCTACTCCCCTTCTCCTCACAGCCACACAGCTTAAAGAGGCACCTGAGGACCGGAACAGCCAACACAAGGCAAGCAACCGTGAGCTACTTGATTGGGTAACGCTCTCTTTTGGAAGCACACCCTCATCTGCAATGGTTTCAAATGGCTCACCCCTCTGCAGATGGTTATCTTGTTCCCCGCAAGGTGACAGAGAAGCAGGGTTCATGTCTTATATTTTCAAATTAGTCCGGCGTGAATTTATGCTAATACACTAAGGCAACTTGGTGTGGCTGAGATAGAGTCACATCCCCTTCCACCAGTGTTTTTTACATGACTTACAACCTCTTTCAGAGGTAACTAAATTCAGCCCAAAGGATCCAGGTCTGCAGCACTGCCTTTTTTTTTTAATTTAAAAAGCATTTTACACAGGAGGAAACCTAGGAGAAATTTTTTAGGTATGAACTTGCTACATTTCAATTACCTGTCTTAAAATAAGCCATTTCCCTGCAGCTGTGAGTAACCAATAAACCCCTACAATGGAAGAAGGCTCAGTGGAGATGGGCAAGGGTGATGTGCCCATGAAGCTCAGGGAAAGATGCAGGGTGTCACTGGCCACAGCTGTTGCAAAGAAAGCTGACTTTGTCTCAAAACACAGGGGACCTGAGTCTGGCTTTCATTTTAGATAAATAGCTGTGTCAGTTGAGTGGATCAACTGGTGCTGTAAATGTTTCTCCCTGTTCATTAAAAGTGTCTGAATGTCTCCTTGAGTTAGCAAGACCATATTCACTATACGTGGCTCAGCCCAGAGTATAAAAACTAAACAACTAACAAAAGAATTCCAAAGAGAGCAACGGGCTGGAGCTGGCTTCAACCCACGTATTCCTTCCCCGTGGCTGGGGATGCCCAGCGTTGTGAAGGTGAATGGGAATCACACTGGTATTGTGATTGAACTGTGTATTGCAATAGCTATGCTTTGCTAAGCGTAGCTTACGTTTGTATTGCATTTTCAGTGTATTTTGTATCATCTCTGCTAAATGAGAAATCCCATGCACCATCAAGTATCTTCAGGTAAGTAAATCTGATATTACACGTCACCCTCCACGCGTGGAGTATCTTCAAGAACCTGTTCAGAGTGTATTGGACTCTGACACTAAGAATCACCTTTTGAGTGGCTATTTAAAAATATGACCATAATCTGGCAAAATTATTCAATGTATTTTAAGAATAAGTCTAAGCTAACAGTATACATTGATAAAATTACTCTTAAGATCCAGAATTAAAAAAGGAAACACCAAACCGAAAAAATCCAAAGTTTTTACATTCAGGTGTATGCAATAGACTGTAAAACCGCAGAGCAGAATAAAGTCACAGTGACAGTACCTGCTGAAATCCAGAAGTGGCCCATTGTGAGTGTACTTGAATTTGAAGTGGTAACATTCTGTAATTGTCTGCAAACAAATCCAGTAACTATTAAACTATCAGCTGTCAAGCAAACTACTACTGCTGCTTCTGTCTAGTAATCTATTAACCTTGCATTTAAAGAAAATAATGGTAGTCCAACTCCTGTCTGATGCACTTATACACAATGAATACAGCTTTCTAATGCTGTAACAATTACTGGTATTAATGCATATAATTGTCATCAAATAAAAATGAAGATCTACATTATTTTCCAGGAATCACCGTGGTAAAATATTTTGAAACATCAGCCGAAGTTTTTAGAATGAAATATTCATTCAGCTTCTAATCACTATGAAAATGTTTCACACACGTAACAGAGACATGGTGACACCCAGTGGTTAGTTAAAACATATTGTGTTTTCCCCAAAGAAGTTCCATAAATGTGTTATGCAGATTTAGGACGCTGCATCTTTACGGGCATTTAACTCTGCAACGACACCTTGGGTTTCTTGTACTGGCCTGAGAATAACCTGACACTAGATATTCAAAGGCAATTCACTATGTAGAAATTCTGATTAGCTCTAAGTGATTCTTGTGTTTGGTATTTTAAGATGTCTTTTTTTTAATTTGCATTAACGTGAACGTTAAGTACTGTTGCTTGTATACACATTTCACTATATCCATACTATCATTAATCATCCAGTAAAATATTCTAGCAGATTTACCTGAGGATCTTCTGGATGGGTATAGACCTGTGTTTTTAAAGTAAAGAGAGGGAACAGTAAGAACTGTACATAACTCTAAGCATCTACTTTAAAAAATGTGTACCTTACCTTTCAGAGATACTTACTGCTAGGACAATCATTCTTAGCTGTCAAATGTAATTAAAGAAAAAAAGAACATTAAATGTATTCCATGGCCCATTTCTGCTTAACAAGCTGTTTTGTTTCTCTAGCTCTGGAAACCAATATAGACAACTATGGGCCTGTTTGAAGAGAAACCTCTTCATACACTTAACTCCTTATCTGTTTAAGGACTTACTCAACTGGCAGAAGGAAATTCCTAACTATCCCTGCCTTTAAGTGTTTCTGTTTACAAAGAATATTATCCTCAAATGTCTGTGCATCCCACATTGTAGCTAACTGTTTTAACATATTAAAGCCGCTATTCCCTAACCAGAATATATATGGTTATAATATAACTATGCTGGCAGCTAATGGACTTCTATAAATGAGTGTTTAAATACATTTAAAATAGCTGAATGATACTGGAAGACTTACATATTTCTTCTGCAAGGCATCATAGCATCCTAACATCCTGCAAAAATAAAATATTGTCCACCTACTGCTAATTTCCATTTGCTTTGCTTCTGACTAAATAAAAAAAAAGTCCCAAAAAATGAAATTCTTGTGTTTAGCTTTCTTAATATTGGATTAGAGCAATAAAGAATACTTATTTGATTATTCTTTTTATCAGTAGCGATACAAGCAATGACTATCTTTGTAACACCCCAAATCATCCTAACCTCTTTGCAGAATAAGTAAAAAATATAATCTTTAAGTAATTTGTAAGTAAAAATGTAACGCAATTGTACGGCTACCATTTTCAAACACCTTCTAACACATGTATTCATTAATCAGTTTATAAATAAGCACTCAGCTGAACACCGACATCTCTGAAGCACGAAGGAGTTATGTTATTGCCTTTATGTAGATGTTGCAATCTGCTTTTTATATAACAGGCAAACAGTGAACCAAAACTTACCCTAGTTTTTTTTTTTTCTAACATTTCTTTTGAATATAGTCAACAAGCAAAAATTGTTTTTGGTGCGTACATGACGCTGAGTTAAGAAAGGCCACTGTAAACTCCAAACAGGCAGCATACACCCTTCACACAAAAAACAGGGAGCTTTTCCTCGTCAGCATCCCCAGGCTGCCACACCACTGCCCTCGCTAATGTTTCACGCGTGAGGGTAAGGTGAAACGCACTCGGCACCACTTGAGTTTGCTCTACCACAGAAGATCAATTAAGAAATTCCAGGTTACAGCGAGGAAGCCTTTTCTCTCCCTCTCTCAGTGACGGCACGTGGACAAAGAGCGGATGACCAATTACACCTTTAACATCAGAACTCAGACCTACATTTCTGAACACCTCAACACTGATGGCAGCTGCAAACCCCCTCTGCTGAACGCAGCAGCATTTCCGATGCCTTACCTTGTACTACAACTGGTAAAAATGTGAAGAGAACAAAGATGGCCTTTACAGAGGTAACAAAAAGCGAGGAGAGCAGCCATGAACAAATCTCACAGTTATTGTGAACAGAAAAAAAATCAAAATAAATACCTCTAGTCCCAAGTGACATACTTAGGCTCAACTGTGTGAATGTACAAGTGGACGGACTATCGTTCACAGATACAATTCTGCCTCTGAATATAAAGGCCAACAGTACCACTTTCTTACACGAGTCTGAGAGCAAGACCTTTAAATACAAGATGCAAAATGGTAACACTGCGTCTCCTATTCAACTAGAGAGGAACTACTGCTTAGATTTTTGTGTTTATGTGCACCTTGAGCACTCATATAAACCCATGGAAACTAAATGTAAAGTATAATCACTCTGTAAACAAAGATTTGTGCTCTATTAAGCACCAAGTTGTAAGCCTTTCTAGAAACACAAGTGTACAAGTCAATTACATCTTTACCAAAACACAGAGTTTGATTTTCCATTTAAAAAAAAATTGTCAACATAGTAAATACCACACACTAAAAGCACTGCCTGGGCAGTTGTTCACTCACAGCAAGGGAATTTTTTTTTTTTTGTATTTGCAAACAACCAGAAAGCTATCTTTCAGAATTGACGTGCTATGGAAGTGTTATCTATGGAAGTGTTATATATAATTGACATACCATTTCACCAGCTGAGTAGAGCCAGGACAGTTTTTGTCTTCCCTCAGAATTTTGACACAGACATCTCAAAAAAAGAATATATACATGCATTATTTACTTAGGACAAAATGCAACTACATTGCTAAGAAAGTGAAGTTCATTCCCTAAAAGTATGTGTCAAAAGCAGACTAAAATTAACATTATTGACAGGTGTCAGCATGGTTTTAATTGCTGAGTTAGTGTCATGCGTCACCACTATAACAAAATTCAGCGACCACTGTATTAGTGAAGTTTCCATTACGGTCATTGAAAATGGCTATTGGCTTTAATACCACTCATTAACTTCACAACAATCCTATGACAATAGATTTTGCAAAGAATCATGGAAACGGCCTGTTACCATCCATGTATCTTGTTCCATAGGCACTTTCAGGAAAGATTCCTCTCAGATATGTAATGCAGGATACTGCTACTGCCAGGAGCCTCTTCACTAGCATCAGAGACTGCTGTTCAGTAGATATTTTGTTGGGAAATACAACTGCACTCTGAAAGTTAGAGAAAGAAAAGAATTAATCTCTGTCCACAACAACAAACCCGTACAGTCTACAATCTGGTCCAACGCCTGCTTAATGTTTTAATTTAATTGAAAAGTATGACTTTCAGCATTATTTATGAAGTTAAGCATATTCTTAACACTTGGCTTTACTGTGTTTTTAGGACATAGCTGGTTTCTACCAAGTGTATGACCACAAAGCTCAGACTCAAACTATTTTGCTATAAGCATCTTTATACATAGCTAAAAGATTGAATTAGCCTGTACTTTTCAAGTGAAGAAATATTAAAGAGCACCTGGGCGCACTATTTCAGCTAAAATCCACTATTTTTCCAATTCAAATAATATACTGTGCTAAAATACACAAGAAAATCATACCACACAATTTCTTTGCTTCTGAGCCATTGCCATTTTATAGATATTCTTCTGTCTGTTAACAAAACATCGGCATTAACACATGTATGACCACCATCCACAAGCACACGCAAGCCCAGACCTCAGCTATTCAGCTTTAACTAGTCAGTACTTGAACCTCCAAACACTTCCTACACAATTAATCTTTATCAGTTTAAACAAACCCCGTAATTTCAAGGAAACAGAACGGTTCATCTAATAATCACCAATATTAGATTCTTGATTTTACACCAGCACAGACCTCCCCGAAGGCTGCAGCATGCAGAAATTAAAATATTGTCTGCCTATTTATATGAAACATGAGCCCTTCAAAGTGATGCTCTGAAGTGCTAACAGGCACCCAGCCTAACGGACTTTCAAAGGACCCCGAGGCTCTTCACATCTATGTCACCTCCAGCCAAAGTTGAGGCAGCACCTTCGGAAAACACCTCCAAGCCTGGGTTGTTTTCCTCCATAATTTAAACAAGTATTGTAGAAAAGAGACCCCTCTCCAGCCGTTCTTTTTGTTCACCCATGTTTTGATTTAAGCCTTTAACCCTCAGCGCTGAGCCTGACTCCACAAGACAAGCCTTCCCCACCATCTGTAAAAATGAGGTGCACCCACAGCCGAGGACATGGAAAATGCCTTTCCCAAGTAGGAGGTTGCCCCTGGACAACGCAGGGAACTGAGCTCCCCCTTAGCCGAGCCTCCACAAACCCGTCTGACCTTGGTACCTGGCTAAACTCAGCACTTCTGTGAGAAATGCAGAAACAGAGGAGCCCCTTCCCAGCACTGTCACC